AATAATATGAATTAAATGTGAGAACCTTTTTGAATAAAGGTCAATTAAACCAATTTTGACTCTGTCAAAGTCAACCACCCAAAAATATGATGTCGGAAAAAATATAACGAATAAATATAAAAATTATATCGTTAGATAGAGTTTAACTGTCTGATCGCAACGGTGCAATCGTATTTCAATTCGGAGAAAGTTGGACCAAAAAGTGTTCCCCGACTGGGACCAAATTAGTCCCAATCAGGGACTAGCGTTTGGAATCGGAGAAAAATCGCAGCCCGCTCCACTAGCCGCCCGAACAGGAAACCAGACATCACCCTTGGCAGCATCCTTCACCATTTTCCTATATAAGTACCATCTCCATTTCTTCAATTCCTCACCATTTCTTACAAACGTTCTGTCTATTCTGTTGCTGGGAGTGAGGAGAACGCAGTGGTGCTGTCGTATTGGTGTGAGGTCGCCGGAGATAGCTACAATTCTCGCTGGAAGTTTTGCCGGAAAATCTTCAAAACCTCCATTAAGCTTCGAGGTAAGCCCGTAGATATATCTAGTGATTAGAATGTTCATATAGATCGTTTTTCTGTTCATAAACGGTCGTTTGGTTGAGTTTTATGTTTGACATGTTTGAATAACCAAGAATCATAAACCAAGAAATTGTTGTTAAAACTACAAATTAATGACTGTAAAATGATATGTGAACATTGGGGAACATTCCTATATAATTTAATTGAAGTTTGGTAATTAAAAATGATAATGTTAAAAATTGAACAGAGGAAGAAGATGATGAACAGTGGCCGAAAATCAATTATTTCCTTCCTAATAATCGATTAAAAATTTGTTCAGATAGTCAGTATATTTAAAAATAATAATAATCGATTATTTTAATCATAAAAATCGATTTAACGTTATTAATCGATTATTTTAATTATAAAAATCGATTTTTAAGTATTAATTGATTATTTTAAATATAAAAATCGATTTTTAGTAATTAATTGATTATTTAAAATATAAAAAGCGATTTTTAGTAATTAATGGATTATTTAAAATATAAAAATCGATTTTTAGCAATTAATTGATTATTTAAAATATAAAAATCGATTTTTAGCAATTAATTGATTATTTCAAATATAAAAATGGATTTTTAGCAATTAATTGATTATTTAAAATATAAAAATCGATTTTTAGAAATTAATTGATTATTTAAAATATAAAAATCGATTTTTAGCTATTAATGGATTATTTTAAATATAAAAATCGTTTTTTAGCTATTAATTGATTATTTTTAAAAATAAAAATCGATTTTTCTTAAGTCCAGATCCTGTTCCGAAAATATTCGGAAAATGTATACTCTAAAATCCACCAATTGATTATGATCATTGGAAAAATGATTTACCATAATAAAAATTATGTTTTTAAGAAATAAAAATGCTATGTGATGCATGACGGTAAGTTAGGGTGTTAACACCCGAAGCTAGGCCGCTAATTGTTATTGAATATTATGTTGATTGATGATTATGGTAATGATTATTGATTGATTATTATTATGATTGAATCTTGATGAATATTTTGATTAAAAATGATAATTGTGAATGATTAAATCATAATGAATATATTGATGATTGTGAAAATAAAATGTATTGTTAAGGGTATCTAGAAGACCTCTAAGATATACCCATATTAATGTTGATTTGAAAGGTATCTAGAAGAACTCTAAGATATACCTATTTAAGTTAGGCCTTGCGGGTATGAACCCCGGTGGCTAGGGTTAAAACGTACGTACGGGATCCAGGAACCAAACTTGAGTACCTACTCGTTTGGGGGTACCACCCACCCAACAGTGAACACTACGCTGTCGGTTTTTGGTTGGCCTTAAGTGAAGGTAAGTTTAAGATTTTCAAAACCCTTTTATCTTAAACTAGGCCTAGCTTAAGGATTATTTAGGAATATTTTATACTGGNATTAAATCATAATGAATATATTGATGATTGTGAAAATAAAATGTATTGTTAAGGGTATCTAGAAGACCTCTAAGATATACCCATATTAATGTTGATTTGAAAGGTATCTAGAAGAACTCTAAGATATACCTATTTAAGTTAGGCCTTGCGGGTATGAACCCCGGTGGCTAGGGTTAAAACGTACGTACGGGATCCAGGAACCAAACTTGAGTACCTACTCGTTTGGGGGTACCACCCACCCAACAGTGAACACTACGCTGTCGGTTTTTGGTTGGCCTTAAGTGAAGGTAAGTTTAACATTTTCAAAACCCTTTTATCTTAAACTAGGCCTAGCTTAAGGATTATTTAGGAATATTTTATACTGGAATATAGTTTAATTATTTAAACTAGAATTTGTTTAAGGGTTGACAAATATTAAAGTGATTGGCCTTAGACTAAGAATAGTTTAAGGATATTGTTGAATGTTGAATATTGAATATGAGTAAATATTGAATGATGAATATTGAATTGAATATTGCAATTATTATGAATGATTGATGAACAATGAATGTCAATATAAATATTGAATAATGCATGATGAATAATTTTTAATAATTATTGATTATCTGAACTGAACATTATGTGCATGATATCAAATGATTTGATTATGAATTTAGATTCAGTTTATATGGATGTTCGATGCATTAGATATGCTTACTCAGCTTCAACGCTGAGCGTGTAGTATGTTTTATTTGCTACATGCAGGTTAATGAAGTGACGTGATCCTGGAGGCAGATGGAGGCGAGATTGTCGGAATGGATGTGATGGTTTTGAATTAAAGAACATAAATAAATTATGTTTGTGATTATGATTGTTAAGCTTCCGCAATATGGAAAACTCCGTACTGTTTATATTATGAAAAATATTATTGTGTTAAATAAAAGTGTTTGAAATGTTTTAAATTTTTACGATTACCACGTTAATACTTTAATCTGAAAGGGGCTGCAGACCTTGACAGATTAGGGTGTTAAATATCTGTTAGAATAATAGACCAACGCTAGAGGGGGGGTGAATAGCGTTTGATCAAGAAATCGCAGGAATAAATAATAAATAAACGAGAAGTAAAGAGAAGAGTAAGAGGCACACCGATTTTACCCTGGTTCACCACAACTTGTGGCTAGTCCAGCCTCCCGAGAGACTCTCTCGAGCTACACTACTATCTCGGTAAGCTTAACGGTGCTTAACAAACCCGTACAACTTGAGAGTTCGAGTCACAAGAACCTCAACGAACCTTCGAAGGAGACAACCCTTCCTTCGAACAACAAGAGAAATACTTTCTCTTGTCAAGTGTCTAAGAACACTAAAAACACTCAAGAACAATACTCTCTTTTAGAGTGGATAATGAGTAACTAAGAACGCTCAAAAACACAACACAAGCTTCACAAAAATGGCTTCTCAAAAAGCTATGAATAAAGGATGAATGATTTGCAATAAAGGAGTAGAGATTGTGAAGTGATGTGATGTATAGAACAGACCCAAACACCCCATTTTATAGTGGAAAAATAGGCTCTAACGGATCAAAACATTTAAGGGGGGATTGGCACAATTTATGGGATTTGATTAAATTTGGATCTGCTGAAATTCACCTAGACAGCGCTGTCCTAGGCTGGGACATTGTTGTTCTAGGCTTGCGTTTTGAAATTTTTTTTGAAAATAGGAAGCAACGGTCATGCCAACAGCGATGTCCAATACTCCTACATCGCTGTTTTGGCCGTTGACTTCCAAACAAGGAAAGTTTTAGCCTTAAATCCCTTCCAACGGTCAGGTCCATACATCGATGTTCAATACTTGAACATCGCTGTTTAGGTCTGACTTTGAAGGTGGAGTTTTGGCCTGACAAAGCTGTTGCTGGGTCAACATCGCTGTCCAAAAACTTTCTGCCAATGCACTATATTTTTGGCTTAGGTTGGACAACGCTGTAGGGAATGCTACATCGCTGTTCCAAATGTTTCTGGAAACCCAACCTTGGCTCAACAACGATGTCTAATATGCAACATCGCTGTTGGAAGACTTAACGCCAAACCACGGTTTTCAGCTACACAAGCCAGACAGCGCTGTTGGTAGCACCAACATCGCTGTTGGGCTGGTTTAGCCAGACCCATGGTTGGTTTAGTCAGCCGTTAGTCGATGTCAAAAAAGTAAGTTCTCCAAAAATAAAAACCAAGTATTGAAAATGTTTGTTTAATGCATTTTGCTAAGAAATCAAGTAAAACATTTTTAAGACAACGTCATTTAGTTGAAAACCACGGCTAGCCAAGTTTACGCCGTTTCGCATGGTTTTCACCAAACGACCAAAAACGAAAGGTGGTTTTTGAAGCGTTTTTGTTGGAGAACTATTTAAATATGCCCCGAAGTGAAAACCAATCATAAAAAGGTGAAAACCACTTGGTTGGTTCGAATGCCAAAAACCCATGCCGAAAACTGAAAGCCGAAAGCCGGTTTCTGAAAGCCGAACGCCGGATGACTTGGTTTTTGGTTTGGGCGAACTCCAAGTGTTTTTAGCCATGTTTAAAAACTTATGAGAAACATTTTTGAATTTGAAAAAAGGGTTTTGATGAATTGAGCCTAGAGAGCCAAGATTTGGATGTTTGTGCCGGTCTTGATCACATTAGGACCGACTCAATGCAATTCTAATTCTTTGTGCTTGATTCTTGGTTCTTGGTTCTCATGTCATCATGCCATGTTTCTTCGCCTTGGTTTTTGCTCACTTTAGCCTTGTTGTGTCACGGCGGTTTGGCATTATCAAAACCTGTCATAAAACGAACACGGTTTAGTACGACATAGGCGTAAACCCATGTTCCAACAATTTCCCCCTTTTTGATAATGGCAAACAAGACGGGAATATGCATACTAAGGGATATTTGACTTTGAAAAGTATGAAAAAATTCCCCCTTAATTTGTGCTTAAAAAATTGTCATATTAAAACCAAACGATCCCGTTTTTAGAGACGTTCCCCCTTAGTATATGCATAGCCCTTTTCTTCCCCCTTTTGACATTAACAAAAAGATAAAAGATACCTTTTATTTATTAAAATGGAGTACAACGGATGCGAGTCAAAAAATGACAATAACAAAGAGATAAAAAATGCTAGGGGCGGCCTAGTCTTCGTCTTCCTCCTCTTCGCCTCCGGTTTCTTCGTCGTCGTTGACGTCCATCTCATCCCCATCGATGGCATCGTCGAACTCATCTTCGTCCGGAGAGCTTGACGGCGTGTAGAAGGCATCGTCTTCCTCCTCGTCACCGTACACTTGCCCAAAGAACGTGCCATGGTACGGTGGGGGGACGTAGTTAACCCGTTGGAAGTACGCGTTCATGGCATACCCTTGGCGTTGGACCGCCTCGTCAAGCCTCTCAAGGTAGCCATCCATCCCGTCAACTTTGAAGTGCAGCCGGTTGAGGGAGTCGGCGATGGAGGCGAGGTTGGCCCGGGCCTGGGGTTCGACTGGGCCAGCAGCCGAACGACACCATGGCGCGGCAGTGGCAGTGGCAGGTCCGGCGTTGTCCAACCGCTTCTTGAAGGTTTGGGTGCTGATCACCCAAATTTTCGTGGCCTTCGTGAGTGGGCCAACGGTGGTGGTCACCTTGAACCGTTCAAGGCTGTCCATCACCACGAACGGGTACGGGAGGAGGTGATTGTGGTCGGGGGATGCGGCAATCGTCATGTTGATCATGACAAACTTCGCCTAATTGATTGGAACCGAGTGCATGATCGCATGGAGGAGCTTGAGGTCCTCACCAGACATGATCGTGTGCCCATGCTTTCGGGGCTTGATGATTCGGGACACGATGTAGAGAAGAAGCCGGCTCTCGAGGTTTGCGGAGTGGATGGTGGGGCGGCCCGAGGCATGGCAGATAAGCTCGGTGATGCCAAGCTCATTGAGGATAAGGCCCTCGTTGTTGAGCACCCAGTCCTCTCCGCCATATTGGGAGACGTCGTCACCTTGGTAGGGGAGGCCGGCGATGCGCCCAAGCTGCTCAACGGAAAGCTCTATCGGCATGCTCTTGACAAGAGAGTAGAGCACGCCGCCCTCACGCCGGAGGTTGGAGTAGAAGACCCGAATCAGCGCCGGGTTGATCTCCTTCATAGCCCGGGACACGAATGGCCAAAGGCCGGCTTGATGAAGCTGCGCGTCAAGGTCGTCGTAGCCCTGCAGCTCCGGGAAGCTCTCCGGGACGATCCGTGGGGGAGCCACAACCCGTTTAGAGAAGAAAGTGAGAAAGCGGGTGCGCTCCTCCTTGGAATCGAACCAGAGGTACGACCCATCGCCGTAGTAGAGGCATTCCTCAGAGGATGTCGTAGGCACCCGGGATTTGGACTTTGATTTCCCGGAGGTGGCAGCCCTGCTCTTGTCTTTGCCCATGGTGAAGAAATCTCAAAAGGTTAGAGTAGAGAAGATGAAATATGTAAAGATATTGAAGGAATTTGTGTTTGTGTGTGTAAAAGTGAAGAGAGGGGGTCCCAATTTATAGAAAAAGAGGTTCCCAACGTCCAGAATTTCAAAAATATGGCTGTTGGAGCAATTAATGCAGGTGCCAACGGATATTTTTTGAAAAATTTATCCAGAACAGCGATGTTCCAAAGGCTACATCGCTGTTGAGACAGCGCTATTGAGCCTCTGGACAGCGCTGTTGTGCGTCAAGTTTTAAAAACAAGTGTCAAATGGACAGCGATGTTGGGTAACCTACAGCGATGTTCCAAAAGTTGCTGGAAATGTGTAAAGGTTTGAACCCATTAGAACATCGCTGTTGGGTTTCTCTACATCGCTGTTTTACGATTGGAGAAAAAAAATTTGTAAAAATGGACATCGATGTTGAAAGTGGGACATCGCTGTTTGAAAAGTTTCTGGTTTTGGTTGAAAAACAAGGTGTTTTGGGTGGACAGCGATGTTTTTAAAAAAAGGCATAGATGTTCAAAAAGTTTCTGGAGAGTGAGGATTAAGGGACTCCCTGTAACAGCGATGTTGGCCTATAGTACAACGCTGTTGGCAAACTTTCTGGTTGACGGTGTTTCTATCAACAGCGCTGTTGGGTCTCCTGGACAGCGCTGTTTGCATGGTTCCCCCTGATTTCATGAACGGGGTACCTGCAAGAAAAAGAAAAAATTCTCCGACGCTCAAGTTAGTAAACGTTTAATAAGTTTAGATGCACAACTTAGATCATCGTGGAGTCAAGGATTCCGAGTTCAAAATATATATAAATATATATTTCGAAAAATCAAAATATATGTATTTATATATATTACGGGTAGATATAAAATAAATAAATTTAAAATTCATTTTCAATGATTTATTTAAGTCCAATACTTATTCCAAGACTAAATAAAATCATTTTACCAATTTTTAAATTTTAATAATTACCAAGTTAAAACTTTGACTTTTTAAATTTTAAAAGTCAAACGTAAAACTATAGTTTTGTACGTTGGCTCCGATACCACTGATAGGTAACCATGCAAGGATAGGCAGCGGAATATAAAAATTTTAACATCCTAACATGATTATCTTGCCCAGAATCACGTACTAAAACTTATAGTGAGTAAGAAATTTATACCTTTCTCCGTAAGCGGTAAAAATGAAGGAGTCGTAAGAAGAGCGTTGAAAGTGCAAACGTAACCGTTCAAGCGTCCAGTCTCCAACTTTGACACACGAACAACGCCGGAGCCATGGACACTGGAGCCTCTCCTCGGCCCAACCACCCCACTGCCCTTGCCCACACTCTCGAAAATCTAAGCCTGAACTCCCATCCGACCTAGTTCATGGACACTGGAGCCTCTCACCATATCACCGCTGACCCAGCTACTTTATCTCATGTATTTTCTTCAAACATTTATTCACCCTCTCATATTATTGTAGGTAATGGATCTAAAGTGTGCACTACGGCCTCTGGTAACGGTCTCCTTAACACAAACCCTCCCCTTTCCCAGAAAAATGTCCTTCTCTCCCTTCATATTATCCATAACCTTATTTCGGTCCGTCAATTTACTCGTGATAACAACTGTTCCGTTGAATTTGACTCTTCCGGTTTTTTTATGAAGGACAAACGGACGGGAGCCGTGATTCATCGATCTAGTAGTGACGGACATCTCTACCCGCTATCTCAAGGCCAACCCCCAGCACATCTTCACCTAGCCAAAGTCGACCTGTCCACGTGGCATCGCCGACTTGGTCACCCAAGCCCCGCAGTTCTCCATGGCGTCTCTTCTTCTTTTGATAGTTTTAATAAATCTCAGTTAAACTCTTTATGTCATGCATGTCGGTTAGGCAAACATGTTCGCCTTCCTTTTCAGTCCTCGAGTCGTGTATCTCTTTTTCCATTTCAATTAATGCATACAGACTTATGGCAATCGCCTGTTCCTAGTGTTACTGGATTTAAATTCTATATGCTTTTACTAGATGATTTCTCGCATTATTTATGGATTTTTTCCCTACGTCACAAATCTGATGCTTACTCCCATCTTGTAAAATTCCATGCAATGGTCAAAAATCAATTTCAAACTAGTATCAAAGCTGTAGAATGCGACAATGGAACAGAATATAGAAATAATCCACTAGCCTCTTTATTTGAGTCCTTGGGTATTCTCTTTCGAATGGAGCGTTAAAATTTCTCTCGGCTCCCTCCTCAAATCTTCGGCTCTCTCTCTGCCGGTTCCCTCTCTACCGTCTCTCCCTTCGGCTCCCCCTCTCTCAGCCGTAACTTCTTCCCGGCACCACCATGGCCGAGGTTTCGTCTATCTCCTCTGACAATACATCTTCCCCCAAAACCCCCCATCTTGCTTTCACCACTGTTTCCAACATCAAATTACACATCCCCATTCAACTCAGCATATCCGAACCAAACTACAAAAAGTGGAGTAAACTTTTTCGTCTACTTGCTCTTCGCTTCAATCTCATGGGATTTCTCGACGGCACCAATACTGCCGCCTCCGACGATGACGTTGAATGGCTCCAGTTTGATGCCCTCCTTCAAGGGTGGATTCTCTCCACCGTCACTGACGAGGTTTCAGATCTTGTTCTCGCCAATAGCCCCTCCGCTCATTCTCTCTGGACAGCGATCTACAAATTGTTTCATGACAACAAACATGCTCGGGCAATGCAATTGGAGCATCGTTTTCGCACAACCGTCAAGGGAAATCGGACGATCAATGAATATTGCCACCTCCTCAAAAATCTTGCCGACTATCTCGATGATGTGGATGCTCTGGTGACCGAACATGCCTTGGTCCTACAGGTTCTTCAAGGGTTGCCTCAAGATATACGAGCCCAGGTTACCTTCCTTCAGTATCAAACTCCTTTTCCGACTTTTTTGGAGGTTCGCTCGGCCCTCTTGCTCGTCGAACAACAACAAACAAACACCACCCATGGCGCCGACTCGTCGACGGCACTCTTCAGCACCGGCAGTGGCGGCGGGTCTCCAGCGGCGGGCGGACAGCAGCGTCAGGCAGGGGGTCTTGGGCGTGGCTATGGCAGTCAATCTTAGTCCTTTAACAGTGGAAACCGTGGACGGGGACGTGGCCGTGGTCGTGGCGGCTCGAATAAACGACAACCTATTGGTCCGCAACCCTGGTAGTTCCCTAACTCTACACCCGGCCTACTCGGCCCACGCCCCTACCCAACCTATCCACCCTACCCGGCCCAGGCCCACGTGGCCCAAACCCCCAACCCATACCCGTACTACTCCCCTGCCCAACTTCCCCAATACTACCTAGCCCCCTACCCGAATCCCCCTACCCATAACCCAAACCCTTATCCGCAGCCCACAGCCCCAACC